GACCCCCTTCCAGCCCAAGGCCAGCAGCAGGAGGGTGCTGGCACCCCAGACCCCCCCTAAAGAGCAGGCAGCAGCGTGAATCCAAGTCGTTTAATGTCGCCCCGGACACCCCCAGCACCCCAGGGACCAGGGCACCCCCAGGGTGCTGTGCAGGCACCTCCAGGTGAAGGGAGGGGACCGGGGGGGCCGTGGATCCCCCTCCATTGCACGGGGGGGGACATCCCGGCGGGTGGCAGCGTCCCCGGTGCCCCCAGTGATGTCCTTTAGGAGCATTTGAGGAGGAACAAGTTGCAGGCGGTGCCGCGGGGGCAGCTGCAGAGCTTCCCGATGCGTGCCCCCCTCCGCACCGCACACGGCTCCCCCGGCTCGCACTGTTGGGGATGGCAACCGTTAGCCCCCCGGGGCTCGGCCAGCCCGGCTGGACCCCCCCACACACACACCCAGCCCCCCCAGCCTGGCCGTACCAAGGGCACCCAGCTCAGCCTCTTCTCCACCGCCGGCAGGTCCCTGCTCCCCAGCTTCTCCAGCACCTCCTGCAGAGCCTCCACCTGCCACAGACAGCACCGTGTTGGCACCCCCAGCCCCCCCAGGACCCCCAGGGGCTCTGGGTCTGGTCACCCCGAGTCCCCCCTGGATGCTGGTGCCGGATCCTGTCCCACACACGAGCAGCACTCGGACCCCCAGGGGCTTGGGGTCTTGTCACCCCCAGTCCCCCCAGGATGCCAGTGCCAGATCCTGTCCCACCCACAAGCAGCACCCATCCCCACAGGTTGCACCCTGGGGTGTAACTGCAGCTCCCCGTGCCCCGTCGGTCCCTGCCAGAGGGGAATCAGGGCCATGGCAGGATTTAGGGGGGAGAGGGGGGGGCTCAGGGTACATCCCACCCGCCCGGGTGCAGCTCACATCCCCTCCCCAGCACCCACCACCTCCTCCTGCCCAAACCAGCATCTCCCCTCACTGCACCGCAGCCATCGGGGCAGGATGGGGAGGGAAAAACAGGTAAAAACTGCAAATTGCCGTGTGCTGGGGGGGTCCCTGGTGCCCCCTGAGAGACCCCCTGAGAGCAGCGGCACGACTTCGGTGCCCCCCTTCCCCAAAAGCCTGGGGACACCCTGACCCAGCCCCTAAAGTGGGGCAGCAGGAGCATCCCGAGGTGCCCCATAGGCACGGGGAGGGCCTGGGGGACCCCGTGTCCCCCCCCAGCATGGCTCCCCCTTCCCCTTACCAGCTCCATCTCCTCCTGGCTGTGCCCGGGCAGGCTCTGGGCCGGCTGGAGCCCCGGTACCGGCTCGGCGGTGCCCGGCAGGACCAGGCTGGAGCCGGCCAGGCAGAGCAGGCAGAGCCAGGCGCTTCCCATGCTCCCGGTGCCGGATGCGTCCCTGGATGCTGAGGGATGTGCCCAGCTCAGCTGGCTTTATACCCCCCCACCTCCACCTTCGCCGCCCCCCCCGAGGGCCACCGGCGTGGGCAAACACCCGCTGACGCAGACGGGGTGCGTGTGTGACCCCAAACCTTGACGCTGTCATGGGGCTGGATGGGGATGGGGACACAAACACACACACACACACGTGTCCCCAGGAGCTGCATCCCCCGGGACACGCGTGCCCCGGGACGTACGTCAGCGCCACGTCCAGTCGGAGCAGCCCGAGAGGCGGCAGGCACGGAGTACACATACCCGAGGCCTCTCTGCCAATTCCCTGAGCAAACACGGCTGCGGCTCATCCGCTGGCATCGCCCAGGGTCCCTCTGGGGGGGGGCACAGACAGGCTGGGGGGGCACAGACAGGCTGGCACACAGCTCTCACAAACAGCTTTATTCCAAAGGAGGGGACAAAGTGAGGGGGGGGGACAGAAAAAGGGGGGAAAAAGGGGGTGCTGCAGCCCCCCACCCAGCCAGAGCTCTGATGCAGAGCCAGCGGGGGTGGAGGAAGGCTGCTCCCCCCCCCATCCCTGCAGTCAGGACCCCCCCGGGGGGACCCTCTGCAAGGGAAAGGGGGAGAAGAACGTGGGGCTGCCCCACAGCTGCCCCTCCAGTGGGGCACAGGGGGGTGGATCCAGCTGGAGGGGAACGGACAGGGGTGAACGGTGGGGAAGGGGCCATGAGGGAGCCCAGCCCCCCCGTCCCCATGGCCCACAGCCACACAGGTCCGCCCGTGGGGTCCCCCAGCCCCACAGCATCCTTGTAGGACCCCCCCTTGTCCCGCAGCCCTCCCAGGTCCCTCTGTGTCCCCAAGGGGTCCCCCAGCCCCACAGCATCCCTGCAGGACCCCTCCCTTGTCCTGCAGTCTTCCCAGGTCCCTGTGTCCCCATGGGGTAACCCAGCCCCACAGCATCCCTGCAGGGTCCCCCACAGCCCTCCCAGGTCCCCCTGTGTGTCCATTGGGTCCCCCCCCCCCCCTGCCTCCC